TGTTTTGCTCAATTCTGCGTTCATCGAAGATTTGTGTATTTTCGAATCAAGGGCGAAATGTAAAGCGAATGGCGTCGGACTTTGATTTCCGACCTCTACGTTCCCGTTTCAAAAATACCCATACTGTAGGAAATCTTACTGTTTTTCGGAAACTGAAAATGGCTTTGGATATCGAGTTCCGGTCTCTAAACGTTGTTCTCGTTCCGAAAATACCCATATTGTTGAGCATCTGCCAGCTTTCCGGAAACCAAAAGCTACCAGTTATCGCCGGAAATCGATTTCTGGCTTCTACCCGTTCCGAAAATATCCGCATCGCGGGAAAATTCCAAACTTTTCCATTTACCATATGGAAGGCCCGACTTTCTCGACTTCCTTAAAGGTTAGGATCTCGAGATATAGTCAATGTATGAAGTTCACATGCAAATTACTGCCAAGTAGTAAGAGAATTCCGTCCGGAAGACCTTAATCACCTAAACAGCTTTACTAACGACTGCAACTTGCTAGAAGATCAAGATATAACTTATACAAAAAGTTGTTCGTATGGACGCTAGCGCCACTTAGGGAAATAATTCTGAACTAATCTGTCACCATCGAAGGGTCTTGGGCACCTGAACATCTTTTCTGGACACATAAACTTCCTAGATGGCCAGGATCTCACAATTAAACGCATCGTGTAATGGATTTTGGTTGGAACTATTTAAGTCAATTTCACTCTGCGTCTAAATGTATGCCGTGTTTTTTTCTATGAATATAACATATGGACATGAAAAATGTGTGTCTGGTGAAAAAGTCTACCTTTCCAGTTATAATACTGAAAAAAAGGAATTTTTTTTTCCCAAAATAGGATGTAATTGAACGTTTTTGTTCAGCAATGAATTTGAATCGTGGTAGGACCTAAAAATGCATCATGGTTGGACCTATTACAAAAGTACCATTTGTACACTACGAGTGCCATTAACCATTCGCCTCAGTTTGCCGACAACGTCTAGGTATTTGTGTGTCTGTGTGAGTAACCAAATATACATTACATTTCTCGGCAACCACTAAACCGAATTGGACGCAACCACCGCCAAATGAAAGGTATTGTGGTCCCATAGAATATTTTTTGGAACTGGTCAACCGGTTCCAGAAATATGGCCGGAACATGCTCCGGTTTATATGGTGTCATCATGTGAAACCTCAATCCCATTAGAATTCAAAAACTAGTTCAATGATAGTCATTTGGAGGCCTAGGGCCACATTGGCCACACCTGGCCATGTTTCGATACCCCCCGGAGGAGTGGTCAGTTTCTGACTATAGTAAAAAACCAGCATGCTATTCCTTGAATCACATTAAAATTCAACAACCAGTTCAATGGCAGTTATTAGGGTATTCTTAGGAACAATAATAGACTCTTGGACTGCCCTGTGCGGCATAACAGTCGAGAAGGTCATTCTTGTGAAACCGCGTTGAATTTGGTATTAGCGAAGTAGAAAAATAACGTGGAGTGTAAAGATACGATTGTTGCTGTTTTTTTGGATCTAAAACGCGCTTTTGAAACAATTTCTAGGCCCTTATTGTTAAGATCAATCAAGCGCTTTGGAATTACGAATACTGCATATAAATGGTTTGAAAGCTATTTGTCGGACAGAACTCAACGGACTGTTTTTAATGATTCTGTTTCCAGTCCCATGGGAATAACCTTGGAGTGCCCCAGGGAAGTGTATTAGGGCCCCTGTTATTTATTATGTATATTAATGACTTGCGACATATTTTACGATTTTGCGACATTAATCTTTTTGCAGATGATACTGTGTTATTCATTGCAGCTAACGATGCCGTTTTACACTTGAATGAAGATTTGCGTTCTCTAAGTAGATGGTTGAAGTATAAGCAGTTGAAATTGAATACAAGTAAAACTAAATTTATGGTAATATCGCGGAATCGAGTTAATTAGAATGTCTCTGTTGTAATTGATGATGAGACTATTGATCGCGTTCGGGGTATTAAATATCTTGGCGTGATTATTGATGACGAACTTAAGTTCAACTCTCCCATTGACAATGTCATTAAGAAAATTGCCAAGAAGTATGGAATTCTATGTCGACTGAAAAACGATTTAACTATTACCAGTAAAATACAGCTATACAAATCAATCATCTCACCTCATCTAGACTTTTGCCCTTCCATTTTATTTTTGGCCAATGCAACACAAATATCGAGATTGCAGCGCTTGCAGAGTAAAATAATGCGTTTGATTTTGTGTTTGAACTGTAACCAGTTCGATTTTCTTTGCAAACTTGGTTAAATTGTTATATTTAATTATCTTAAAGACAAATCGTCCAGCTCAACCTTTGTAGGGGTAAGAGGTGGGACCATCATCACTATCATCTTTGCGGTCAAAACTTGAACTATTTTTATCCACCAAATTGTAGTCCTAATTAATCCAAGAAACTTCACTCAACAAGTTAACTCAGTTGGATGCAATCCCAGAGCGTTATTTATTTTTTCCTGCTAGATTTAATTCCTGGCCCACTGTGCAATGGAGAAAAAAAAACTTCAATGGGACAACTATGCTGAAAAGGGCAGTGAACTTGAAGCAGAAAAAAAGTCCAATATGCCTGTCTATCCATTTAATGTGGACCCTACACGATTGCTTTTATTGACAATAATCGTATTGTCAATATATTCAATATTGACGTCAATACATCGGTATTGACAATATTTCTGTATTCACATCATCAATATTAATGTCAATAATTCCCCTTCGCGTCAATATATTGATACGTGTGGGGTTTGCTTAAGACATTTCAATATTTTTATCCAATCTTTTGAATATTAAATATTATTTGAAAACAAAATGTTAAGGATATTCCAAAGAAGATTCTAGTGATATTGAAAACATAATTAACGTTCCCAATTTCTGTTAAGACATGACAAAAGAAATAAAAATGCTGATCCGCGTCCTCGTCGCACTTCAATCAGAAATGCCGTTTATAGGCTACAATGTTTTAAAAAATATCAAAAAAAGCCATTTAAAAAATTTTACAGGATCCAAAATGGCCTCAGTGTTCACTCGGCTGTCGACAGAAGCAGATCACTCTCGATGTGTGTCACGCGGTAGTCTTTTTACTCGGCAGCAACAATTGTGTGGTCTTCCTCATTGTTCTCCATCAGCAGTTCTTTCGGTCGATGCGTTGTCGAATTTGGAAAGCCACCGTTTCGTGATGAGTGTGTGTGAGTACTGACCACGTTTTGCGCCCATTGCTGCAATGGAAATGCTCTGACTTCCGTTGGCGATACTGCTATATAATGAAACCACTGGAAGCGGCTCCTGTTCTGACGGAGGAGGCTTTTTGGATAGCGGAAGATAAAGTGTTCATTTGGTTCTACCTTTTGACTATAGTTTTAAGATGTTTTGATAGTGAATAAGAATTCTCGGCTCTGTAAAGTTAATTCGATTGAGCCTTATAAAATAAATTAATGAACAAAAAAAAAAAAGAACAGAATAGCCTGATTTTAGTAAAAATGTGAATCATTGCCCATAACAAACAAATTCTGCAAAATGTTTACAAATCAGAGAAGATCGAGATTTTCCGATTCGTCATTTGGCGTGGAACTGCTCACTTAGATTAAAGAATAAACATCCTTCTGCGTCTTTATTTTCATTTTTTCAAGAACGTTGGCGTTGGAATCCTTCAGGGACATAGATAGATTTGAAGATATTTGACGTAGAAAATATTTAAATAACTTCGAAAAAAAAAAATAGAAATCTCGCATAAAGGAACAGTTTCAGCTGAGAAGTTCAGTGCCAACATTTCATTAGGACGAAACTGCTTTTATAAACAATTTACTTCAACCACCGATGTCTAGCATATAAAAGCTCACTTCTACAAATTAACGATGCCAGCTGGTAAAAAACGTTACTTATTTACAACAGCAATTTCACCCTTGTGACTTGTGACATGTTAGCACTGAATTGTCTGAATGACTTTTAGTAGCGGATGTATCTTTGAAAGATGATTTTTGGCATCTTGGATTTTTTTTGCTACTCATGTTTTTTTTCTTTTCAGAAAGAGAACAATAATTAAAATTTCGGCCCAGTGACATATTCGGCTTAATTACGTTCAGCCTAAAGACCGACCACCGCGAGAAATGCTTGGGTTACGTAACAATGGACCCTTTAGGAGAATCGATTTGAAACTGTATAAACCGAACTGTAAAAATGGATCCACAGAAGATCAATCCTAAGTCCCCCCCCCCCCCACTTCTCCCGGTTGGCAGTCTCAAGTCCGGCAGTTATTTATTTCCGGTACCAGGAAGTTGCATTTTCCCCAAAGAACGCACAAATTTTACCACCCGTGTGCTGCTTCAGCTTTGTCTCTGAGCTCGTAGTTGGCAGAATTTGGTCCAATTCCTAGCAGCAGCACCCGGAATCATCGCTCTCTGGATGCTGGTCGTGGTGCGTTTTTCTTGAAAAATAAGATCTCTCTCGTCGTCGCTGTTGTGTACGATCTACCCATCCCCGTTCAAGTGTGTTTTGAACCGCGGACGACGACGACGACGACGGGCGTGTGTGTTCGTTACGATGACGATGACTACGACGACGACGACGTGTGTATTTTTTCAGATCTTTTGGGCTAAGATGGGGAGTAGTTGGTCGTCAGATTCAGAGTCGAGTGCGTTCAGAATCGCAACCAACCGAACCTAGAGGTTGAAAATAATAAAATAGAAAAACAGAGGAGCGCACAGTGCATGGACAGTGTTCGCGGTTCGCACGTACATTAAAACTTGCAACAGCAACAGCAATAGCAATAGCAATAGCAGCACCAACAACGACAGCGACAGCAGCACACATGAGCGCGTATAAATAAATATAATAATTTCAATTTCATCCAGTTCCTCCGCGGCTCGCACGGCGGACCAGACTCTGCTTTTTTATATCTCGGTCTCGGTGCTGGTGTACGAATGTATGTTTAAAATATCTGATCCGTGTGTATATTTTTGTGTTTCTACACAGAGCGAATAACGAGCAGCAGCGCAGTCACAGCCAGCAGCACGGCCAGCAACAGGAGTATTACGATAGTGTGCGTGCGTGTGCCACTCTTTGGCCCTAATGTGGCTTTAAGGCCTCTCGTCGTATGTGTGTGTGCGTGTGTGCGTCTCTGTACGTGCGCTGGTGTTTCAGTGCAGTAGTTGAGTAGAGTAAACTCCTAAACCCCATCGGAAAACAGCGAATAAGTGTGTGCATTGGATCGGCGAAAACAAAACGACAAGAAGAATAATTTCCAAATCCCATCAGTATCATAATAATAGCGAAAGTGTGAACGCCGAGAATCAGTGGAAAGATAAAAGTCAAAATTGAAAACCCACCATCCGATGAGAAGAAAAAATATCTTTCTACTGTGTTTCTGTTCGATTGGGAAGAAAAAGTGAAAATACGACGACGAAAAAGCGCCACCCGCGAGAAGAGTGTAAGAAATTTGCAATTTTAGGTTTTGATTTTTGTGGTGGAAGAAAGAAAAAAAAAACAATAAAAGTGGCAACAGGAGTAGTTGAAGAAGAAGAATCAGTAACAGCAGCAGCAGCAGCAGTGCGGAAGCCGAAGAAGAAAACGAAAAGAAACAATGTCAATGGACAACCGAAGTACCTCGGCCCTGTTCAAAAGGGCCGAGCAGCTTAAGCGCTGGGATGAATCGGAAGCCAACAAGCACAGTGGCACACCGAAGAGTCCCTCGATGCGCCGGATCAAGTTCTCGTCTGGGTGTATCTTCCTGGCGGCCTGCGTGGCCGGTGATAAGGACGAGGTGTCGCGGTTGCTGGAAACCGGAGCCGACATCGACACAGCCAACGTAGACGGGTTGACGGCGTTGCATCAGGTGAGTTGAATTGAACAAAACAAAACCTTTATACACAGCACAGACAAACAGACGTAACTCTTTGAAAAAGTTTTTCTTGAAAATATAGTATCGCAAAACATAGGACCTCAGTAGCGACATCTTTCAGGCTTCTCGCGGAAAACAAGCTTGCTCGCTAACTCGCAAACAATATTGCATAAAAGTTCTATAGAATGTATAGAAACGTCAAAGTGATCCGATGCCAGCGCTGCGGCGAGTATTTCGCGGAACTGATAATATTCAAATCAACCGTTTAATGCGTGAACGAAGATACACAATGAAGAGTTACGTCTGTTTGTCTGTGTACACAGTAAACAACGCATCGACAACGAAGCACTTCTCGAATGTCGAAAAAGTCGTGTAATTAATTGCACGTCGACCCGATTTGGAGTACAAGTTGACAATCATTTATAAGAAAACCTTGATTCTTCGATTTCGATGGCTGTGTTAGGGAAGTTTGCTTTCGTTACCGACACAATTTTCGACAACTAAAAAGCGATTACCTTCCGCTTGTCAGTATAGATACTTGAAATCGATGTCTTTGTTAGGGAAACAACGTACAACTTGGGATTAATTTCGGTGATTTTCTAAGCTCCTTTTGATTCAAACGTGTTAGCGTTTCGTGTTCAGTATGAGTGTGGAAATTGTAATGCCACATTCAGGGCAGAAAATGCAAGATGCCACATTCAGGGCAGAAGTTCAAGATGCCCATTTAGTGGAAGTTCCAATGCTGGTCAGTGGAGCTTTTAAGGTCAGTTGTATAAATTGAAGTGCAATAGCTGGTGAGTTTTGTGATACAAAGCAGTTCAGAAGATGAAGTTTGGTGCCTGATACGCTGGCTTCAAATATAGATTCCAGCAGAACAAGATTCATAAAATGTTGATAATAAGCTAGGTTCTTAATTTGCTAATATTCTTCTGGATATTGTTTCAAGGCTTCTAAGGTTTGGTTATCTTTTAAAGTTTCCCTGGATTTATGTCTGGAGGTTTCTTGATGTGAAGTCTACTAAACATACTCAGAAAGTTTTCGCTGGTTATGGAGGTTATCTTGATTTATCCTGAAGGTCGTATTAATTTGAATTTAAATCTATACTGATGCTACTCAATTGTTACCTGATGGTCTCCAAGAATCTCCTATGCTGTGCGAAAAGTCGATCGGTTTGAACGCTTTTTCCATTCGTTGCAAGACTCTGCTGACGCTAATTTGATTAATTTATTTAGTATTTATTTACTCGTCGTCAATCAAATGTAGACAAGTTTAAGTTACAAAAAACACTTGCATACGGTTTTGCTTGGTAACTTTTCTACATAGGTAAATTGTTTCCACTGCAGTAACCATTGCTTAACACAATGAAAGTTTTCCAAAAAAAAAAACCGTTATTCAATAAGTATAAACTTTTGAAAATGGAGCCTCCGGTGGGACAACATTTTGTAAATTAGTAGTCTAGTCCCTAGAAATCTTTAAAATCCGTAGAATTTCAAGCTCGGTCCGTAAATCCGTAGTACTCGTATTTAAAAATCCGTAGACTGTACAACACTGTTGGTAACACAAGAAACAACCGTGGCGACTATATTTGCTTACTTGAGCAGAAGATCGTAGGCTCAATCCCAGACTCCTTAGCATTCGATCATACGAATAAAAAGAAGTAAGCTCTAGTTTATTACAATTCGAGAAATAAATACCACATTTCTTGAGTAACATTTGAAATGGGCCTATGTCCAAAACGTAAACAAATCGGGTTTTGATACCATTCCTTAGCACCGCTTGATAGCTACTAATCGTGTAGGAAAGTTCCGCATAATCGAGAAAAATCAATAAAAATGATCAACCGATCAACGAAATTTTTCAATTCATTAATAGGCCCGCACACTAAAACGGCCAACCATTCATTTATTTCATTTCATTGATAGGCCTAGTGACGTAGAAGGGCCGATGATTAAAAGTTTTCAAACCAAAGCTAGGCCCTACTGCTTGAGGCAGGGCCAATGATTTGTTTTGAATTTATTTGACGTTGCGAAAAGGCTTAGCAAAGGGCGTACCATTTCTGATGACAAGCACAACGGCTTAACAAAAAGGGCCTATCCATTGAAAGAAAAAGGCTTATTAATGTATGAAATTAAATTGTTATCGATTTTCATATATTTTTGAAAGCTTTTCGCATATTTTGGATGTTGTATACTGAGATACAGTTACTATTGTTATTGTGAACTAAAATACTTCATTTTTCTTAAATATGAATTGAATAGTTGCGGAAAAATTTAAAATTCATTTTCTGGTTTGTTCACGATTTGGACATAGGCCCATTTCAAATGTTACTCTAGATTTGATCCATTTTGGTATGAAACTTACTACATTTTTTGAAGATGATACAGGATGCTACATACTACTCAATTTTAGGATTTTTTGTATTAATAAAAGAATTAAGTGCATTAAGAAAGTTTGCTACAAGTGTAGTTTTTGGAGAAGATTTCGGGCATTTTTCATAAAATTTGGTTCATTTTTATGCTTGTTTGGAGTTTTATAACTTCATAGATATTCTGAGAACAAAACACGAAATCAAGTTTCTCTTGGGTTTCATAGGTTTTCAAATGAGATTCCCAAAGGTTGTGTTGTTCATTAACCATTCCGTGAACTTGTCAGAAGTCTCGTCAGCTTGTCTGAAATTCGGTAAACTTCACGGCAATTAAGTGAACTTCTCGGAAGTTCGGTAAACTTGTCGAAGTTCCGTGAACATGTCGGAAGCTCTATTAACTTGACGGAAACTCGGTGGACTTTTCGGAATTCTGTGAACTTGTCTGAAGTTTCGTGAATTTATCGGAAGTTTCTTAAACTTGTCGGAAGTTCCTTGAAATTGTGGGAAACTTCGTGAACTTATTGGAAATTCGGTTAACTTGTCGGAAGCTCAGCGAACTTATCGAAAGTTCCGTGAACATGTCTGCAGTTCCGTTTCTAAAGTTTTCTTAAAATTCCCGAGGGAACTGCTGAAGTGCTGAGGAAACTTAAGGGAAGTTTTGAACTTGTCTCGAAGTTTTCCCAAAGTGCTATGGGTACATTTTTGCGTCTGTTAGAGAGACTTTCTGGTCGAGGATTATCGAAACTTCTCTGAAGCACTCGAAACTCGCCGGAAGTTCCCTCGGAACTTCTTTGAAAATCCTTCGAAACTTTTTTGAAGTAGCCTTGAAATATCTCCAAATAACCTTTGGATCATCAAGGAATCAGGCCTATGCTTTCTCCACTGTTCTCTCCATGCTTCGGAATATGGATATGCTAAAAGTGAATAAGAAGATAAAAAGTCATTACATCGTCTGCAAGGTCAACGTATATCATTCGCTGCGGAGGGCGATAGGAAATGCAACTAACATTCAATGTAATACATTTTTGGTTTGCGTGTACCCTCGGATCTTTTCTGAAGTACACTCAGAACTTATCTGGACATGTCAGAAGTTCCCTCGGAACTTTTCTGAAGTACCCTCGGAACTTCTCTGAAGTACACTCACAGCTTATCTGAAGTTCCCTTGGAATCGGAACTTTCCAACAGATCCGTTAAAATTTCCCAGAAGTTTCTTAGAAACTTTTCGGAACTACACAGAAGTTCCTATCAAACGTAAAAAAAATTTGGACACTTTTAAAAGTTGATTATCAAGGCCAACGATGGATCATATGCCACGTAAGTTTTATGATGATCCTATAATGTCGTCCATGTTCATCGAACATAATTGTTATGTTGCCAAGTGGATGTAATATTTAATTAAAAATGAAATGTCCCGACAGTCTTTTAGTCCAGTAATCGGTGCAATACGGTATCAGAAGTTCTCTCGAAACTTCTCATAGGTTTAATCAAAACATCCCAGAAGTTCCTTCAGATCTTTCTTGCAATCTCCTCCTCCTCCTTTTAGACATTTTTGGAATTTTTTTTTTTTTGTTGAAGATTCCCCGCAATCTTCGGAACTTCTCAGAAGTTACATTGAGCTCTCGAAAAGCCGTCCTGAGTGTGATCGAGATTCCGCGATATTCCTATACACTTAGATTTTTTGCCGAGATGGGCACCACCAAGCAGCTCAGGCATTTTATTTTGCTGGATCTCAGTGAAAAACTTGCCGAGATTCAGCGAAATTTATGTTTGTTAGCCGAGATCTTGGCAAAATTCCCGTTTGATAGCTGAATCTCGGCAAGTTTTTCACTGAGCTCCAGCAAAAACAAATGCCGAGCTGCTCGGTGGTACCCATCTCGGCAAAAAAATCTAAGTGTGTACGAAAAGCATGCAGCACTAAGGGAAACTTAGCTTCATTAGAATGAGAATTCCACTTTAATTGAAGAAATTCACAACACAGTTGTTCTGTTGTCCTTATTCAGATTTCTCGAGATTCCTGTTAGGTTGACATGCAGCACGGCGGGAATTCCAGCTTTAAATATTATAATATGCGAAGTAAAATGCCGGTCATGGGAACTCAAATTTGCTGTACAATCCCTAGTAAAATTAAGAAATTTTCGAACATAGCATCTACAGTAAATCCAAGCCAAATAGCAAAAACCAGAACGGATTTCAGACTACACCGTTTTCGATTTTCATGAATCTGTGTAGAATTGTTCGTTATGGGCAACCATTCATTTGTGTTCGGCCATTTTGAGTCGCACCTGATTTTTAAAATGGTGTTTTCAATAGTTTTCAACAAATCACAGCACGAAAATGTTTCGTTTAATCGAGATGGCGCTTGAGACAAAGTTGTTCGCTTTTTCATAAAAAATACACACGGTAAAAAATGTTAAATTTTGGTAGCTTTATGTCGCCGGGCTGGTTTTATGTGATGTACGAGTCTCTGTGGCCTAATGGCGACCGATTTTGCTTACTGAGCAGAAGATAGTGGATTCAAGCCAAGGACCCGGTACATTACTGAGTTGATAGATATTCATCATTTACTTATCAGGTCATACAAGATTCCATAAGTTTCCAAAGTGAATTCCGATCTAATTTATTCTTCCCG